TCACAACTAGGATGCAGCTGGCGAAGCTATGCTGAACATTTGGACTCCCAACCTATAGATTTAGAATGATTTAGATCGCCTATTTTGCTATCGGTTGATTGATTAGCTGAGGGAGTGTTTTGAAGTAAGTGAACAGCCAATAGAGCATCATTGACCCCAAGAAATGACCCCAAAGAACAACACTTGTAAGGTCCACCACCCCTCCACAAGTGCCCTTTCCATCTCGACCAAGACCTCTCGAACAGGAGAAAACCTCCCACAAGCGAGGTCAATTTTTGTTGGCAAACCGTGGTAAAAACCGAACACCCGACCCGACTTATAGAGCCGGATAGGAGACTTTGGGGGATTTTTTGGTTCCCAAACGATACATAGAGTTTGGGGGAAGCCATGCCCGTGATGCCCAGGTGGAGAGTCTCTCAAGTGTCTTGGGCCAGCTGACCCCGGAGGAGCTCGCCGCTGGAGGCAGCGTGCTTCCGTGGGCGTGCGCGGCGTACGCGCGCAGACTTGCGCGTGAACGACATGACATGCGCGATGTATGGCCTTAGTTGGCGGCATTTGAGCTGGAAGCCAGGTTGTTGGTGTTTGAAGCGGATCAACTCATGAAGCGAAGCGAATCTCACGTCCATTTGTGTTGCAAGATGTGCTTGCGCCGGCAGGCACCGAGCTCTTGCTGCAACTACTCACCCCTCCCTTGCAGGACAGCACTTTCATTATTGTTGGACGGATAAGTAGAGTCGGTCTTATATACTATGTTTTCATCCAGTGGCCCCACATATCAAAATTCTGCCCTCCTCCTTGTGGTTTCTGCAGGAGGCCTTCCATGACTGTGGTGAATGGCCGGCTGAAGAGGCGGGTGGGGGCTTGGTCAAAGACCAAATCCATTGGAAGTCCAGGACAGGGTTCCCTCTGTCAGAAGCACTTGAAGGGGCTTTCGTTGAAGTCTTTTGGATGTATTTCGATCATTCCTTAGAGGCCATTAAAACCTGTTCCCAACTTCCAACTCTCCACGCAACTTCCCTTTCGGCATCCAGCTGACTCCAAGGTTCCGCCATTTCCTCCCACGGTTCGACCGATCTCGATCCAGCCATTTCCTCCTTCGCCAAATAGAGCGGCTTTCGGGCCAACAAGGGCTTCTTCTTCCTGCTAGCTATGAGCTATATAGACTATATATAGGTGCTCTCTGGGGTCCTTCTGCCGGTGTCAGTCTGTGGACCTCCGTTCCTCTTCGCCCACGTCGACGACTCTGGCGGAGTCGACGCCGTCGAACGATCCAACGGGGACGTTCGGTCGCGCGCGTCAGGACGAGGCGAAGATCCAGCAGCTGCTTGACTCGCTGGATCGGACGGACGACCTTGGACCGAAAGAGAACTGGTGTTCGAAGGGAGATGAAATTCACCAGGATTTCTGAAAATATGAAGGGTCCACCCAGTATCACCTAGTGATTCTTGGACTTGACCAGTGATTCTGAATGTTTTGAAGGTGGATTGAGGGAGCTTCTTGGTTTTTGGGGTGTAACTATTCCACTGAAGGGGTGCTCATGGAATCAGGGTGCAGAATGCCGAATGTGACCGGTCTTTGCACGGTGGCAAGACATGTCGTCCTCAGAACGAAAGGTCATGAATTTGCAGAGCAACCGGTGACCCCATTTCACTGTAGTTTGACTTCAGTCATGGATTGTTTGACAATTAGAGATGCCTTTCCCCTAGAAGTGGGACTTGTATCAGTCCATGATTTGTGGGTCACGCCGTATCAAAGTCTATAGAAAGCACATCGAGTCTCGCAAAAATAACATGTGGTGCTGTATGTCTTCAGCTTGACCCGACTTCGGAGACCTGCGTTCTTCTCCTCGCCGAGACCATCGTCGCCCTACGATGGACGACCGGGCTTCGGATGGAAGTGGGAAGAGGAAACTGGATACAGTAGAAAGAATCTGCTACGCATCTTTCATCTTCCTTATAAGGTATATGACATGGGTGGTTCTTTGGCGCTTGCCATTGAACACGAAGACACCTTCACTGTCGCTGTCACAAAAAAACAGCTATAGGACATGTTCGGAACTGCATGGAAAGGCCATCAAGACGTCATTGCTGTCCGCGCAAAACAAACTCCGACCACGGGGGCGCTCCCATGGCCGTCCCAGAGTTCCATTCCGAGGTTCGCTGCAGTTCTGCTGCGAGAGCTGCAGTCAAAGTCATGAGGCCTCGCGACACCCAAGAAGTCGAGGTTGGTGTGGTCCGGAAATTGAGAGCAACGGCAATCTGGATACCTTTGAACGCTGGATATGGGCATTTCCGATTGTTTTGTTTTGGATGATTGATGGATTCAGCATCTCGAACTTTATAGGCAAATAATGCCTGCTCTCGGGGAATGGAATGACCGGTGCTGGGACCTTTTGGCAATCCGGAATAGTCAGTAAGGATCTCCGTCACTACAGCGGTGCTTTTCATGAGTGAAGAAGAATGAATTGATCAAATGAATGCACCCATTTCATCCCATTTCACGATATTTCATACAGGTATCATCTACCATTTGGCACCAACCACGGTAGCTGTCGCAAGGTTGAACATATGATTCAGATCTCAGTTTTGTTCTGCCTCACTTTGAACCTTCCTTACTGGTTCCTCCGGTCCTCTGCTCCCGTCTCCACCCTCCGCACTGCAGAATTTTCGGCCCCGGCGCCTCCCGAGCTCCGAGCTCCGAGCGCCCTGCCGACGCAGTCAGACCACGGGTGTTTGGGGGGGAGACGTTCGCCACGTTCACCACCGAAGTTGGAAGACGGTTCGCCACGGTTTTTTAGGGACGTTGCTCTTGGTGAAAGGAGTGCGGTTTGGGAGAATGGGCGACCGTCTCATAGGGTGAGGAACAACATGTTCGTTTTCTTGGTCTGAAAGAACACGGGATGTAGGCGACCCTGCGCAAAACAAGTGAAGCACTCTCGACAAACATGCTGCATGCTGTGGTAGAGAGAGGAAGAATAAGCAGAGTTTTCTGTGTCGCTCTCTTTTTGCAAGAGCAGATATAGTACGTCTATATGCTATAACTTACATAGTCATAGTATAGTGGCAGGAACGGGCCACTTTTAATCTTTGGGGTCAAAGCTCTTCCCAAGGGCCAGTGCTTCACCTTCACATTCCGCATGCTTCATCCCAAGGGCCAGTCACGTCTGCCAGCCGCAGCCCACCTCGGTGAGGATCATGCGCAGCCGCGAGGGGCCATGCCACCTTAGTGGCCACGGGGTGGGTGGGAGATTGCTTCGACCCTCGGATGCAGATGAGAAGAGAAGCTCAGAAGCTCTGAGGAGTAATGCCTTCATGAAGGATGCGTCAAGGTGTCAAGCTCTTGTGCGTTTGTCTTGCATGGATTTACCATGATGGACCTATGTTCCTCTCCAGAATGCCGCCCCAGCGAAGAGAGCGCTTTGTTCATCCATGCCATTTTGACCCAGCCCACCTTTACGCCTGTTAGGTTTCACTCATGGCCAACTCCGGTGGCCTAATATCCATCAAGCATTTGTCATGATTTGTCGATCCAGGGCCTAAGCGATGCACCCTCACAACCCTCAGGTCACCTGAGTGTTTTCCTCACGTTCCGGAGACACCCGAGGTGCCTTTCCTCGGCGAAGGCGAGAAGGGTTGCCACAACGATCCCCATGAGATCATGGATTCAAATCGGATCATGGAACCCTCAAGTACTGGCTCTCCTAGTCTGATAGACAAACAAATGGAACCCTCAAGATAGACAGACAATTTCGGACTGTTTGAGATTGCTTATTTGAAACATGATGTTTGGAAGGCCACACAGATGCTCAACATCAAACCTGATGAAGTGATTGTTGATTGGTGTTCTGAACGTCTGAAGACCTTTGGCATTTGTTTTTCCGATGCCTTCTGGCAGTCCATCCTGGTTGCAACTCCGGACCGAGCAAGCCATGCCCCAAAGTCACCAGCAGTTAGATCCAAGGGAGTCTTCCGAGAAATGTCACCCTCCATTTTTCCATTTACATCACCCAAACAAATGCGTTTGCCAAGCCACCCAAAAAACCAGGCTCCGGTCTTGTTTCCTCCAGGCACCAGTGCTCGCCGCAGGCGGTTTGCTGGCTATTGCCGGCACGGGAGCACCGGAGGCCAAGGCGTTTGGCGAAAGCCCAGCCGATTGGCTGGGATATTACAAGGACTGCCAATCAGCTGTGCAGCTGTGTGGGTTCAGCAGTGCTGGTGAAACCGTGTGAAACCCAGTTGGTCAAAACTGGCACTGTGGCTATTTTGACCACAAGGAGTTTGGGTGTTGCGAGGTGGGGCAACATTGACTCATGCATGGAATCAGTAGTCCTTTTTGCCTTAGTGCAGATGCAGATACTATAATAAGAGTTCAATCATTTTCAATCTATATCATGCCCAGAGCCTTTTACAAGCACCCACCGGAGAATACCCACTTCCTGCTTGATGCCCTTTCCCCTTTTTCTCGCTGCTGTACCTGACGGACACGACCCCGCCATGCGGTCACGGCGATGACCAGCGACTGGCCAGGACCCGCAGCACCCCCTGTGCCCTCGAAAGATCGAGTATGATGCCAGAGAGGACAGGGGACCTCAAATCTGAACCCTTAGGCGCTGAGAATTTTGGGGGGGCCCTGAGGGTTGGGCCCCCCCAAGGAAGTGGGAGTAGGGGGTTCGGAACCTGTGCTTTCCCTCTTTTTTTGTTGCTTGGAAGTAATTAGGGGATTGGCGGGATTCGGGGTGCATTTGAAGGGGGTCAACTGCAATGAGACTACTGTACGCATCAGCAAAATTGTTCCTTGAGGTTGTTTCCCACCAATTCTTGGGATGTTTTCTGCGTTTAGCCTTCCAGCGGAGCCGGCTCTTCGCGATTCCTGTGAGTAGATGCATCCAGACTCCTGTCCTTTTGATCGACCTCAACACACCCAACAGATTGGCCTGCCGGATTCACCCAAACACTTCCAACGTGCTTCCAGAATCTTTCAGAACTGCATTCCCTGACCTAATGACCGTGGCCATCACATTGCCCAGTGGCTCACCCTCAGCAAAAGACACCCGGCACCAGAAAAGCGGCATCGTGGTGGAGGGCGGCGACGGCGATCCCGGCTGCGAGACCAAGGCGCGGCGTCACCTGCGCCGACCCGCGCGCGCCAACCCGCGCCGTCACGACCGCGGGCGGCCGCGAGAGGTGACGAGCTACTTCCAGGCGGTGACCTTGCCCGGGCAGCGACAGCATCACCATCGACTTCTCCTCCAAGGGGGGCCGACCCCGGACCCCGGAACCGGGCGTGTGAGCGCATGTGACGGGTTGGGTTCTTGGTGCGGTGGAGGTGCGGTGCGGAAAACGAACAGATTAGAGTCTATGTTGAGGAGAAATACTGAGGATGTGGCTGATAGATGCTGATAGATGCTGAAGAAGTATAATTGTAGCCCCTGCGGTTGCTTCACGGTCAAACCTTAGGAGATTGATATCGACGTACCAACAGCCTTTAGTGGAAGTTTGTGCCACAAGACTAGCCTTCTCAGGAAGGGGGTGCGCTTGAGGTCTGTTCTGGCTCTATCCCAGACCATCCATGGGACTGACATGGACTGACCTATTGACCTACACGGAAGTGGTTGACTTCAGGGGTCCTTCCGCAACGTCACATCTTCCAGTCACATGACCGGTTTGGACGGCTCTCCAGGACGTGGTGCAAGTGGGAGGGCAATGGCATCGTCTTCCCCGATGGCAACAAGCGCCTTGGCATGAGACGCAAGCAGCCAAAACAAAGAACCACCTTCCGAGAGGATCACAGAATCCGGTGAACTTTTCTTGCGCCTAGATGTAGTTCATGGAGAAAGCCAAGGAAATCGTCGGCAAATCACCGCCGATTCATGCGTGGTTTCACTCCAATCAACAGGTTTCCTTGGTCAGAAAGCCTTTGATTGCTGAGGTAGCTGGTCTAAGTTCCCCTATCCGTTTTGGATGCTCACTCCAAGAGGAGCTAAGCCACCAAGTACGGAGGAACCCATTAGGAGTGCTAGGAGCTTAGTAGCAGGAACCCGTTTCACTCCAAGCAACTGGGAGAGACCCGGGAGCGCTGCCTTCGCCGCCTTCGCCGGTAGCGGGGACCCGAGGTGGAAGAAGCTCTTCGGGCTCAGCTCCAGCGGCCAGAAATTTGGTTGAGGGATGCCTTGCAAGCTCCGTTTCTGTATCGGAACTCCAAAAGCATTGGTGCAAAAAAACCCGAGCACATCGATGGGATCCAAGACCGTCTTTGTTTGACGACACAAATTTCAACAAACATGTGTGAAGAAAACTTGACAGACGCATGCCGTCGAAGTGTCTGGCTGAGTCTATTTGCTTTTTGGGGTTCCAGGGTTTCAATTAACTCAGGGTAGCTCCTCAAGACCTCTGATTATTTTCAGACCCGCGTGAAAAGCATGGCGCATCCTGCGGGCAGAGCGTCATGTCGGCTTTCAGAAAGCATGGATGGCGCCTGGGATAAGTTAGAGAAGGATGAGGATGGCCATACCTTGACATCATGCTCAGTGCATATTGCTGAAGAGAACACACACACAATTCATGTCTCCACGTTCGTGTCATCCATCTTCGTGTCATCCGTGTTGGCTTCCTCTAGTGGTAGCAGTTTCTGTGTTTGTTGTATCTGAGTCTGAGAATCCCCTCCTTCCATGCTCGTATTGACCTCAAGATAGAGACGAACACAGGGAGTATTGACCTCTAGAGTGTCCTTCATCCCCAAAAGAGTTGAAATGGGGAGGACACAGAGCACATCGGCCATTAAAGGTTAGGAGGCATGTTCCGGATATCTCCAGAAACATCTCCGAGCTGTGGCGATGGTGAGATCAAGAGGTGGTGATGACTCTCCCCACCGACCGAGCGGTACTTGCTGTTCCATATTAGAGATCCGTGACGCTGGAAGCGTCCCTCGGCTCTGGCTGGGCGCCGCGAGGGAGACCGCGTGGAGGACGCTTCTCATTTTGGAAGGGAATGGTGATGTACAGTACTTTGGAACACTCTCTATACACTTTCTGCTTTGCTGCTGTGAGTTTTAACAGACTTCCACCAGATTTCATTGGATTCATTGGACCTTCACCAGATTCTCAACGATTTTCGCTATCTTGACCATATTTATTGGATTCTTGAAGGATTCCCTGCACGAAGACTCGCCGATCCTCGTTTTGGGCCCCGTTTGGGACCTCGATGCGATCCTCGGTTCGATCCTTTCCTGTTGGCTCAGTGGATCATCCGAGTGAAGCTCATCCGAGTGAATCTCTCTCACACACACACACAAGCGCACACTTCATACACACACACACACACACTTAGCAGCTTTAGCTCTCACGCGTTCAAAAATGATGATTTCATCATATCACCCTTTTTTTGGTGAAGAACCATGCTGTCCAAGATATTGTTTACAGTTTACAGTAAGCCTGGCAAGGGTGCACCAGGCAGGATCATTTTGCTGCCTCTCTTAGGAGATCTCAGGGAAGCTCACAGAACATTGCGAAGCATGGAAATGCAGCGGGCCCAACGTGCCACGCAGCTGCCAGAGGCGCTGCGGCCGGATTTGTCCGGCCGCTTCATCCGAGCCATTTTTGTAGCTTCGAACGTGCGCCAGGGGGGTCACGGTTACTACGAGACGGAGAACGATTGGGAGAAGGCCAAGGTGCATCTACTGCTGGAACTTGACCTTCGGCTTGTGGAGGATTCTGAAGTACAGAAGCTAAAGCTTTGCACCATACAGGACCTGGAAGGTGCGCCAAACGGGATGATTGCATGCAGCACTTTGAGTCTGGAGAGCAATGAGAAGGTGGTCGGTTTCACCATGAATGAGGTGCAGTTGCAGACAGGAAGAATTCTCTACCATAACATGAAGGTCATTCTCCAAAATGAAGAAGGCATTCGATCCGAGCCGCTCTGTCGAGAAATGTTTCCTTTGGATTATCCCTTTCCTGGACATGAGATCCTCCTGCAAAGCAAGGAAACACCTGCAGCGGAAGTCCGCGCTTTGCGCGCCTTCAGAGGGCATGAGCGCCACCACCTAACGGGCCTCATATTCCAAGCTTGGAACAGCGCTGAATGTGCCATGGGGCAAACTCCCATGTTCTGGTTGGACCTGTTTGTTCTAACTTGTGGCCTGTATTACTTGGATGTTGCCACGGATATTCAGCAACTGGTGCTGTTCCTTGCCGAGGAGCGATACGAGTATTTCGGATTGAACTGTTTGGGAATGGCGATTCCAATGATCAGTCTTATGATCGATGCGTTGAACTGGAGCGAGAGCAAATTCGTGAGCCCCCAGTGCGATATCTTTAGGCGGATCGTCCCATCAAAGACTGCAAGGATCATTCTGGTGGTTGTTCTGGTGCTGGCTCAAAGCCACATGCTGCTACTGACATTTGCATCAGCCTTGATGCGCACGAAGCATGACTTGTTGCTGGGTGCGAAGCAAGCTGAAGTGGTGGAAGCGATTGTTTCGGCCGGCTTGCAAAGCAACTATTGGTTTCTGATCCTGGTGGGCATGGAATCTGTGTCGCCCGAAGCCTTCCAAGGTTTGAGCCTTTCGGTGATCATGTCCTGTGCCTCGCTAGCTTTTGGATTTGCGAGCAGAGACAAGATTGACGCAAAGGTGCTCAATGTTCCTGGTAAGTTGAACTGGGGGCCCTCCTTCACAGCCCTATTTCTCGTGAGAGCCATGGAAGTTGCCAGCAGGTTGATGGCCTTTAACATGTTGCACCTGGCAACTAGGACTTGGGTAGCCTTTGGAGGACCAGTGGCTGTTGTCATGCTTGTAGTGTTGGCTTTCTTCCTATTTCCCGAGGCAGAGAAGTCTGACATGTTGGCAGCTGTGATTGGACATCCTGGTCAGGTCTTGCTCGGGAGCCGATCGCGACTTCCTTTGCGCTTTTCGCTGAGTATGCACTGGTTGCTACAGCTGGCAGCAGTTGGCCTACAAGGTCTGGCGCATACCGACCATTGGTTGGCAGAGGCCAAAGAGGTACCGTGGGTGTTGATCGTGACTTCACTGTCAAGCAGCCTTTTCACCAGTTTCGGCCTATGCATACTTGCGAATCTCGGTGGACATCAGAAGCATCCTCTCTTTGAACAAGCAGCAAACGGTCAGCCCTTGACATGTACACTGCTCGCCACGGCACTAAATCTTCCACAAGTTCCCATTTCCGTCCTCGCCGCAGCGGAAGAACTATGGCTGGACCTGAAAGCACTTGCCGATCCGGATATCCTGTCAAAGCTAGCAAAGGTACAAACACCACTTTGCGTAGGTGCCTCCTGCATGAAAGAGATCGAGTCGAAGCTGAATCAGCATTGGGCTCAGTTGCTACGCCTCAACGTGGTGCACGCTGATTTCTCGGAGTGTGACGTCTTTGCAGTTGATGAAGCCCCAGATTGGAAGCCTGGTTTTGCTTAAGGTGATTGTTTAGTTATGTTTATAGTTTATATGTTTTCCCGAAACCCACACCTGGAGAATACTTTCACTTTCTATTGGCTCTTGGATAGCAAAGCCAAGGGAGTGGGAAAGCCTTTGTTGGCCTCTCAAAGTGGTTTGCTTTGAATGGCAGAAAGTCAGCGCCGAAGCTTTGGGCATGGTCTGTCGCTGCAAGGAACTGGAGGAAATCGTGTTCCTGGGGTGTGGCGAGACTGATGCATGGGAGTATCTACAAGAGGGAGTCCATTGGCCCAAGCTCAGAATCGCCAATTTCAGTTATTGTTTCCAAGGAGATGGTAGTCAAGCAGGGGCTGAAGCCTTGCTACAGAGCTTGTGCGCATGTAGCGAGCTGGAAGTGCTTGACTTTAGTTACAATGGGTATCCTGAAGCTGAGGATTGGGATAAGCTGATGGCCACTGGCTGTTGGCCTAAACTGCAGTGGGAGAAGTGCGACTTTGGTGATTCCGGCCCCACAGTCCTTCCCGCGCGGTCCGAAGACATGAAAAGCGGTCCAATGGGCGCGGACTCAAGAACTGATGCAGCCGCAGGTCGTTCCTTGCTTTCCTTATCCTGCCTTTCGGTCAACAATCAGCCAAAACCTTCACCCATGCTACCCAGAGATCTTCTTCATATTTCCATGAAGACTGATGTCGAAGGGCTTCAAGTGGATGAGTCACTACTGCCACGGCTGGCTGAGAAGTTGGACTTGGAAGTGCTGGATGCGAGCTTTTGTAATCATTTGCCGTCTACTGCTTGGCAGTTGCAAAATGCCGAGTGGCCTGAGCTCAAGATGGCTTTGTTCAAACGCAGCTTCGACCGGGAAAGCCAGGGCTTGCACGGAGCCCCTGCAGTGCTGCAGATGTTGGCGCGCTGCCAGCGCTTGGAGTTCATCGATCTCAGCTACTGTGGTCAGATTGCAGCAGAGGCCTGGAAGGCGTTGCGTGCAGCACACTGGCCACAGCTGAAGGAAGCCCGTTGGAGGGAATGTTTTGAGACAGGTGCTCCAGCTTGCGGCGGCGTAAGAAGTGTCATCGAGCTCTTGCTTCGTTGTCAACAGTTGGAGGTGATCGATTTGAGCTGTTGCCATGGAATTTCAGCTGAGGAGTTCCAACAGCTGAGCAAAGCCTCTTGGCCAGAGCTGCGCTCAGCTGATTTCAGCGCTTGCTTCTTCATCAGCTCAAAAGGCCAGGCGATGCCAAGAGTGCTGCAGATGTTAAGCAGGTGCTGGAAGCTGAAGCAGCTGCATTTCCAGGACTGCGATACCCAAGAGCAGCTGCAGGAGTTGCCCAGTGGCTGCTGGCCCAGCTTGGAGATTGACCAGTGCAGAGGCTTCGAGGTCCATGAGGATGACGAAGCTTCCGAACGTCTTCAGAAGCAGCTGAGGCGCCTCCGAGGAGCCAGCAGTTCCGGTGAAGTGGCCAGCAGTTCCGTGATTTTGGTCGATGATCCCACGACCCGGGAAGCAGATGATGAAGCGAAAAACGCGCCCATGAGACGCAAGAGGATTCGAAGAGTCCGAAAAAAGCCAGTCGAAGGAGAGGCAGCTGGGACTGAGACTGCAGTTGATGGGACTGAGACTGCGGGAGTTTCCAGAGCTTTTGATCTTCAAACTGGACAGACCATAGTTGAGGAGGCCAAGGAGCAAGGAACACCACAAGCACAGAAGAAACGGACCAACAAGAAAAGGACGGTCAAGAAGCCTCGTGTGCGAAAAAAAGGACCCCGCTTCAACCTCATGAGTGAAGACGTGTCTCAGCTTATCGCGTTTCACATTTACTCATAGGGAAAGCCGTCCAAAAAGGCTGCAGCTGCCAGTTGATGTCCGGACCGGAGACGACTGTCTGCTGCACGTTTTGTCGACAGGTTGTTTTTTCAGTGTCAAAACCCGATGTTCTTGCTTCGTTCGCTTGGCCTTGCGCTAGATGGGTCTTGCGCAAACTGATGTAAGTAGCTTGCAAGTAGCTTTCAGCTGCCCATGTCATGCTGCAGCTTTCCACCGACTTCCCATGACCTCCCTCTCTTTGTGATTTGTTCTTTCAGGAGCTTTTCTCCAACCAAACCTGACCGTCACGCCGTGCGCAGTCGGGCGATGCTGGCCACCCTTCTCAGCTCCGTGAGGCTGCGAGACCTGATAAAAGGAAGGTCCTACAAAAGGAAGGTCTAACCTGCAGGATGTGGGAACTTGTTCTTCTAGCTGTAAACCTGAAAGATGTGGGAACTTGGGAACTTGGACAGTTTGTTTTTTTTGAAGGCTGAGAATGTCCACCCAATATGAGGAGCAGCCTCTTCTAGGCATGTTCTGATGTCAGAAGATGTTTTTCCTTTTTGAGTCAGGGAGTTGCTTGGAGAATCCATCCTTTTGAGTAAGAGTTCCCTGGCAAGAGCAGATGATTTGGGCAGACCCACCAAAAGAGTGATACTGTAGATCCTTTCAGTGGAATCAGATGAGCATTTTTCTAAGTTATACATGGATGATTCTGCGAACAAGATGTTGTTCCCCAAATAGTGCTCCGCACTAAGGGGTTCTTACGGTAAGAGTTAAGCGGGTTTAGATCAGGGTTCGCGCGTGTGGCTGCGGCATTTTGCGTGGGCCGGCTCGCACAAAAGTTACTTTTTGAATTCCTCATGTCCATTTCGACTGCGCAGGCTCGCATAAAGTGGTGGCCGCGCCTTTCGCGCTTCCGGGACAAAGCTCTCGTGCAGGTGCCGTGCTCGTTTTCGGACATGAAGTGCATTTTGCGTGGCAGGCGCAAGGAATTCGACACATTGGAGCCTCGAAAAGGTCATTTTACGTGGCAGGTGCAAGGAATCGGAGACTTTGCAAATTTCGTGGCAGGCGCAGTGTTTTGTGGACGTTGCAAAAACGTTGGCAGGCGTGTGTCATTCGCAGGATTGCGTTTCACGTGGCAGGCGCAGGGAATCCGCACCATGGATGCGATATTTTGAGGTGAAACGGCTGAATTCGTGAGAGGGGTCGCATTTTTGGAATTTGAACTTGAGGATGCTTTTGCGTGGCCAGTGCAGCATTTCGTATGACCTGCAGGCATGATTTCGTGGCAGGCGCAGCATTTCTGAAACGCATTTCAAAATTTGCGAAAGCCTCGTGCAATTTGCTCATTTTGGATCTCCGATGTGCAGATTTCGTGGCAGGCGCAGCACTTTGTGAATCTGGATGTGCAGATTTCGTGGCAGGCGCAGCACTTTGTGAATCTCGATGTGCAGATTTCGTGGCAGGCGCAGCACTTTGTGAATCTCGATGTGCAGATTTCGTGGCAGGCGCAGCACTGTGTGAATCTAGATGTGCAGATTTCGTGGCAGGCGCAGCACTTGCTGAGTCTGGAAGTGGAGATTTCGTGGCAGGTGCAGCACTTTGTGAATCTCGATGCGCAGATTTCGTAGCAGGCACAGCACTTTGTGAATCTCAATGTGCAGATTTCGTGGCAGGCGCAGTACTTTGTGAACCTCCACGTGCAGATTTCGTAGCAGGCGCGGTGCATTGTGTGAACTTTGAAATGCTCCTATGTATTCGCTTATGTGCTCTCAGATTTGTGCTTGTATGTGCTGACACATTTGTGCTCTCAGATGTGTGCGCTCATGTGCTCTCATGTGCTCCCATATGCTCTCATATGTGTGCTCTCATTTGTGCTCGTGAATCTGCACTCTCACATTTGCGCTCTTGTATGTATCCTCTCATATTTGTGCTCTCATCTGTGTGCTCCTTCTTTCCTTCCACGTGATGCCATGTTCCATCTGTTCCTCTTTACACTATTTGGGGTCCCTTGCCGGTGTAATTTTTTTAAAGACAAAAAACCTTTAACACCAATTTCATGCCATAGGTTCAATAGTATGTTTTACAAACACATTCTTTGTCCCAGGCCGACATTTATTTAGCTGGTTGTCAGGCGTATCCATCAAGAGGTGTTGACTCTCCGAAATCTCCTGAACAACTCTTACTTCTTCGTGATGAGCAAAAAACGTCCTCTGAAGAGACAACCAGATCTACATTGGACATCCAACTTGTTGCTCTGACTTGTTTTAAAGACCTGCAGCTTTCAGCCACTATATATTTATATATATATATATACCAATGCATATGAAGCCCTCCATTAAAACACTCTTTTTCTCCCACCATTGGCTGTGGAAGTGATGAGGCCATTGCTCGAGGGGTTTTGGTTTTGCGGGATGAGACGAGATGAACACATTATTTTTCGGGGATTGCCACAGTAGGGGAAGCATCATTGCATGATCTGCTTTTACCTGCTCGGAAAATCAGATATCATATGATAGGGTATGATAGGTTTGTCAGTTGTCCTTTGTTGTCCTTTGCTTGTTTTATTTGGTCTTTGGGTATTGTTGTGAGGTGAGGGTTGGATTGGGAGTGGTGGATGTTGACCAATGAATCAAACAGCCCAAGGAAAGAAGTTGTTCCACTGGGTCATGCATGCGCACCGACGAGTCAACAAAAATAGCCATTCCCTGCAGACAGATTGCATTCGGCTGTGTGGCAATGAATGTCCAACCATGCACCCCACATCACCAAGCGAGAATACATGGAACATCCCGAAGGAAGATTGGATGATTGGATCTAGAAGTAGATGATTTCATACCCATATGGACCCCTATGGACTCTATGGATTCATTTCACTTCACACCCATATGGCTGGAGGAGCATCTTCATTGGGATGTCCTTGAACAAATCTTCAGTTTGAGGATCCCAGAGAAAGTCCTTGATCACCCCAAGACCATCACCCCAAGACCTTCTCCGGACAGACCTGGACCTGCCATAGGATTGGTGATGAGGCCAGGGGTGGTGCCACCGGGGTCAATGTAGTGTCCCGATCTTCCAGTCCAATTGCTCCTCGATGTCTGGGTCATCCCATGCTCCTCGCTGCCAACGCCTTCGACGCCAGGCAATCCGACCTGCACCGGCCTAGGCCGGCCGAGAGCCTTAGGTGTTCGAGGAAGAGAACAGAAAATGTCAAAAGGATTGAAGTCCTTTGGTGTCAAATCCAAGAGAACCGAAAGGGCTGTGCCCTGGGAGATGACGTAAGATGACGTAACATGGAACCTGAACACATTGGGGTTGTAGAACATTTTCAGGTTCCATGTGGCTCTCTTCCCGGGTGTAAGGATATTGGACAGGCCCGGTTAGGCCCCCCTGTCTGCAGAACCGAAAGTGAGTGGACATGGGATGTCACATGGATGTTGGTCCGACCGGTGATCACAAGTCAGGTGGTTTGTTTCACCAGCCAGGGGAAGATCGCTGATGGTGTGTCTTATCAGTTGTTTAAAGTATGTCCACAATCTGGAGTGCTTTCCGGTGACAGATCCTAAGTCTGTTGACAGATCCACAGGCTTGAGCCCTGCTAAAGTAGCTCTTGTGACGTATCAAAAGATAGTTTACTCGGGTGCCAGAGGTCGGCAGCAGCAGCTGCACCTGTTCACCTGTTCAGTTTGCTTTTTGGCCGATCCTGCCGCTGGATCGCCAGATGATTTCCAGATCTCCCACAGAAAGCGAGCGGCTCTCCAACCGAACGAAACTCGCGCGGGCTCTCCCACGAACACAGCGCGAACCCCGTGGGCTGTGGCTTCGCCTCCAAAACCTTTGAGTCCACGTTCAACTTGGCCTCAGAAAGACCTCAGCTGTAAGCAATGTGTATGGGCTCTCTAGCATTTCCAGATGCACTTCAAACCGTAGCTCCCAAGAAGTTGCTGGGGATTGAAGTCCTTTTTCTCTGGACATCTTCAAGGGCACAGGTGTGAGGTGTTCACCTTTTTCATGGACTACTGACTACAGCCGTGTCGAAATTATGATGGACGATGCACCGGACTTCAGAACCGGTTGAGCACTTTTGGTTTTGTGGTTCTGTGGAGTTTGACAATGAGAGGTTCAGCAGATGTCTGAAACATTCCCATCACTATGGTTTGATTTTTGAAATGTTTGTGCACACGGAGTTACTGCTTGCTGGAAGGCTTTGCTCTACACATTAACAACAGCTGATCTCAGCAAAGCTCATTTTGCACAAGCTTAAGCTCATTTTGCACAAGCTTACGCCCACAAACACACACATACACTCCTGCCAATACTTACGTAGTAGCAACTCACAAGAATCTTTGACATGCTGTATGCTTGTCCTTGACACATAGAATCACACGCCAAAACATTTTCCCTAGATGTTCTGACAAAAATGAAATTGACAAATGTTGTTAGAACATTTTGCTGGGGACATTGGGAAGACCACAACCTCAGTGCTTTTGTCACGTTTTGATGATGGAGAAATGGAGAAGGCTCACAAGCCAAATGTCGGTGAATGTTGTCGGGGGATGCTCAGGATTCTTGCGAAGCTTCTGAAGCACCTGGGATTTGGTTGTTTTCTTTTGCTAGGACTTATTTTCTGGCCACTGTGCTTGAATTGCTTCTTTCCTCTGGCATCTGTGTATCTCGACAGACGCCTCACGAATAGCCGAGCAAAGGTTTCTTGGCGGAATCCTTTTGGCTACATTCGAGGACGCTTTGCTGATGCAGAGAAGAGGAACATCACGATGGAGCAAGCTCCTGACGCCTGCAAGTGGCTACAGAAAACTGACCTTGCAGGCAACCAGTCAATTGCTGAAGATTGCCGCGAATGGTGCGAAGAAAACCTGGCTACAGGCGCAGGATGGCCCCTCATGGTTGCGATGCCCGCGCTCCTTGATGCTTCTGAAGCTGCAGCTGCCTTTAAGACCTGCTTCAAAGCCCAAACGGCCACCTTGGGCCGCCACTGGCTGCCAACTTGCTGGAGTGTTTTTGTTTGTGCCCTTGTATATAGACTCTGTGCTGGCCCAGTGGCATGGGCAGAAGGTTGGGACTCCATGCTGTGCTCAGAGGGTTCAGAACTGTTGTGCTCGGAGGAAGCCAATACTGAGCTGCAGGTGGCCCCTGACTCCGAGGGATATCGCGCGTTCCCTGAGGGGAATTGGGGCTTCCCATTTTCGTTTTTCTATAGGGCCACTTCAGACATGGACGCGTCCCGATGCAAGCTCTTGGTTTCACTCTTTACCACCCTGGCAGAACCGTTTTCTGACCTTGTGTCAATGTTGACATTCCTAAGAAATGGACAACCGTTCTATTTGGGTGTAATGGCCTTCGGATTCTGGCAGAGCGCGATGTTTGCTGATGGGGATCTTCTGCAATGGGAAGGCCTCGCTGAGGGCCGGAAAAGCTGGAGACGCGGATTTGCGACGCTGGCCTTTATAAAGCACAAACGTGATGAAGTCTTTGAATGCGGTCTTTCCACAGCCATCCAGGTCTTTGCTTTGCTCACCTTGCATCCAGCAGAAGATGCCCAACAAATGCTCATGCTCGCCCTCTTCGCAGCCATGACCTTGGCGATCACGGGCCCGGAAGGGGCGGAGGCATTCTGGGTGTGGGTGTGGGGCTTGCTGGAGGGAGGAAATGTGGACCACTTCTACCAGGTGGCTGAAAAGAAGAAATCACTGCAAGCGTGGCAAAAGTACGGACCCTGTGTTTGGGTTTTGGCAGCCAACCTAAGCATTTTGATGTTTTCGGTACGCTGGCATCGTGTCGTCGGACCTGTGTTTCATGGCGACTGGATACGTGGCGGTTTGATGCTTTTCCTTGTGGAAGCATGTTTTGTGCTTTTGAGGTTGGTCATGATTTCTTCACGCGCCACGGGCTCAACGCCCTGCATCCTTCTTTGGTTGAGGGTCTATGTTCCGGCGGTTCAAATTTGGATGACGACCCTGCTTTGCTTCATCTCCTTGATGCCGGGTCTTGCGATCGTCCCAACGCTCTTTGCCGAGCTGGGGCAATTTGGTGGCAATCTTCTGGCCTGCCACCAATCTCAGGTCACCTTCGACCTTGCCAGGGAATGTGTGATGCCCATCAGTGTGTTTGCAGCAGCTTTGATCCAGTTCCTCATGCCACTCATGATTGTCATTCTGTGTGCTGCTTGGCTCCTGGGACACCCATGGGTGCTCTATCAGATACTCGTTTTGCCCGACCAGCCCTTTCTTTACGAGCCCCTGGCCTGGGTGGAATCGCACGGTGGAGATCCTCTCACGGGGCACGCATCAAGCAGATGTCGCGACGTGGCACACAGTTCCTCGAAGTCTTAGGAGCGCATCAGAAACAGGGGTTGGCTGTCTTGCATGGACACTGCCTAAGAGGTCCAAGGAGTCTGGTCTTTTACACCACGAGACACCACATTGATCAGCCGCGGTATTTTCAGCTTCCCACTTGAACCCGAGAACCGACTTGTTCTTGGAGAAGCCGGAGAAGCCGATTCATTGAAGACAAGCCGAGTGGGTTGTGACGCATGCTCTCTACAAGCCAAGTAACACATTTGATGGACAACGTCTTACAATTCCACAGATCTCCTGAGATCTGAGAGTGAATCTACTGTAAATTGCTGTAAGGCACTGCACTGCCGTGTTTTCGTAGCTTTTCTGCAAAAGTGAGGGCATGCCTATGGCGAGAAACATGTGAAAGCTTGACGCATGCGGTGAAGCACCAACTTTTTTTGATTTTTTTATGCTACAGATTTTGTGAGACTTCTGGGTCTGGGTCTGAGACATGAGTTTGTCGCAGTTGGAGATGTAGTTCATTATATATATATACACTGTATATTACTGTGTATATATATATATTGTTCGAGGGTTCATGAAAGTAAGGGATAGGCTCCGGCCAAAATATGGCTACATGTATCCACTTGGTTTCCTGAAAAGAAAGTCAAGCGCACGTCGATCCGTTCTTCGTTCTTCGCCAATCAGACCCTTCGGACATCCATCTTCAGACCCAAAATGGACAGAAAGATTTCTGAGCGAAATTCTCAGAGAACACAATTGCTGGCAGAAGGTCTGAGTCTAAGCCCTTCACACCTGTTTTCGGGGGCCTGGAGCTTCAAGTGAAGGACCTCCAAATCATGCTAGTGGTGCCGCAAGGGGGGAAGTGTTTGTTCAGTTGAGGAGGGCGATCACAACATGTTCTGACTCTGTGAGCTGGCAAGAAGTAGAAGAACTAGGTTTCATGATCTCTTTGGGTCTTTTGAGGGACCCAAGCCCGTTGTTGGGTAAAATCCTCCCAACCCTTAAGTACGTCACTTCATTTTTTCAAGAGGGTCCACAGGATCGCTCAAAATGGTTACGGTCAGTAAAGTAGATGCCTTCCTTGAGGAAACGGAACATCAACCCGAAATCAGCGGTAGTGGAGCTATTCAAGAGATCAATGTGTTTTGAGAAGACCACTTAAAATGGTAGAACAGTTGCTTCCCTGAGAAAACAAACAATCAACGGTAGTTGGCAGTATTCAAGAGTTCAATGTGTTTTGATGAGTCGTTGATTTGATCAATCCTGCTTTCTATCCATCTCACTACCTGCAGGGAAGTCCAGAGTTACTCCAGCAGATGATTCGTGGTCATTTGAAGAGTCAGAGGCCAAGGAAAGCTTCAAACATTCCGTGACATTTTTGGGCGGCGTTGGGTTGTTGGATTGCTTCGAACCACTGCATCCTGATCTGAATTGGCGCGTTTATTTTTGGATGTGTTAATGCGTGTTTGAGGCAAGCTTCATGCTCTTTTTCTCGCTTTTGTTTCATTCCTTGATCAAGTTATCAAAGCAACTTGGAACGGAATGCTCCACTTGGATTCCTTTCCCATGCATACAACTTATGTGAACAAGACTGGTCCATTCGACACATGCGGTATGCGCCCCGATTTATCGGCGTGGAGGTCAGAAGCTCGATACCTCAGAGATTGGGCAGTTTGTTCGATACCTCCCGTTGGCAGATGTTGAGTCCCCAGAGCGACTCTCTGTGGCGCCTCCAATCTTCATGTTCTGTGCTTTGAAAATGTTCTTGGCCTTTGAGAAGTCTTCAGCTGGAGGGAACTCTTCTACCATTCCCAGAGCCACTTCAAACCGTTGCTCCCAAGTTGCTGCGGATTGAAGTTTGTTTCCTTAAATGCTGACACTGGTGTGAGGTTTGCTCTTCAAGCTGCTGCTTCGTCAAAGTTTGAGGGCTGAGGACCAGACAGCAGAAACAGTTGACTGAGCACTTCTTGCTTTGTAATTCTGTGCAGTTGACATTGAGACGGAATTTCAACATATTTTTGCAAGGTTTCGGATCAGCCCACTTGGATTCTTGAAGTCTTGGGGTGTGAGGAGTTGCTGCTTGCTGGAAGACTTTGCTCTACGCTTGAATGATTTGGCTCAGCGGATTGCGAGCAAAGCTCATTTGAGTAAAGCTCACGCACACACACAAACACACCCACCTGCCAAGAAATAACACACACTCGAATTATGAAACTTGGACATGCCTTTCGGGCTCGTTTTTGAGACATAGAGTTGCAGGCCAAACAATGTTCTCCTAGATAGCCTGAGAATAATGACACGGAAACATGTTGTTTCCCCTTTGGGGGTTTCTTACACAACACGTTTTGACTCCTGTGGAGCATCATGGCAATGCAGCGGGCCAATGCTGCCACGCAGCTGCCAGAGGCAGTGCGGCCGGATTTCTCCGGCCGCTACATCCGAGCCATTTTTGTGGCTTCCAACGTGCGCCAAGGGGGCCACGGTTTCTACTCGACTGAGAGTGAGTGGGAGAAGGCCAAGGTGCACTTGCTGCTGGAGCTGGATCTTCGACTGGTGGAGAATTCGGAAGTACAAAAGCTCAAGCTTTGCACTGCGCAGGACTTAGAAGGTGTTCCGACAGAGATGATCGTAGAAAGCATGTTGAGGCTGGAGAGCGATGAGAAGGTGGTTGGATTCACAATGAACGAGGTTCAATCACCGCAAGGAGGCATTAGCTACTACTTTGTCAGAGTCATGGTGAAGAATGAGGAAGGAATTCGATCTGAGCCGCTCTCGCGGGAAATGTTTCCTTTAGTTCACTCCTTTCCTGGGCATGAGGTGCTCCTGCAAAGCAAAGCAAAACCTGCAGCAGAAGTACGTGCCTTGCGAGCCTTCAGAGGACATGAGCGAGACCACCTGACTGGCCTTGTCTACCAAGGTTGGAACAGCCCTGAATGTGCGACGGGGCAAACTCCAATGTTTTGGTTGGAGCTTTGTGTATTGACTTGTGGCCTATATTACTTGGATGTGGCCACTGATCTTCAGCAGTTGTTCCTCTTCCTGGCCGAGCATCAGTATGAGTATTTTGCTCTGAGTTGTGCAGGCATGGCCATTCCAGTTGTCAGTACGGTGATTGATGCAATGGCATGGAGTGAGAGCAAAGTCGCCACACCTCAATGCGACAAATTTCGGAAGATCGTCCCATCAAAGACTATGAGGATCATCGTTGTTGTGTTCGCGGTGCTGTCCCAAAGCCACATGCTTCTTTTGATCCTTGCATCAGCCTTGATACGCACGAAGCATGACTTGCTGCTAGGCGCAAAACAAGCTGAAGTGGCAGAAGCGGTGGTTTCGGCCGGACTACAAAGCAATTATTTTTGTTTGATTCTGGTCGGTTTGGAATCAGTGTCGCCCGAAGCCTTCCAAGGGCTCAGCCTCTCAATTATCATGTCCTGCGCCTCGCTGGCTTTTGGTTTTGCAACCAGAGATAAGATTGATGCAAAAGTGCTACAGGTTCCTGGGAAGCTGGATTGGGGTCCCACATTTGCAGCTCTCTTTCTTGTGAGAGCGATGGAAGTGGCGAGCAGGTTGATGGCCTTGAACATGCTGCACCTCGCAACTAGGACTTGGGCAGCCTTTGGAGGACCAGTAACGGTCGCCGTGCTTGTAGCGTTGGCTTTCTTCCTCTTTCCGGAAGCTACAAAGGCGGACAAGTTGGCAGCGGTCATTGCCCATCCGGGGCAAGTGTTGCTGGGGAGGCGCTCCATGATTCCACTTCGTTATTCCCTTTACCTGCACTGGCTACTGCAGCTGGTAGCGATTAGCCTGCAAGGACTTGCGTCCACTGATATTTGGCTGGCAGAGGCCAAAGTGGTACCATGGCCCGTGATCGTGGCATCGTTGGCAGGCTGCATCTGCAGCACTCTCGGCCTTTGTGTGCTTGCACATGTAGGAGAAAATCAGAAACATCCAGTTCTTGAAAAGGCAGCAAAAGGTCAAGCACTGACGTGCACTATGCTTGCAGCTGCCCTGCAGCTTCCCAACGCTACAGTCCCAACCCTGGCTGCGGCTGAAGAAATTTCCCTGGACCTCCAGGCACTTGAGGACCCGGAGATCCTTTCAAAGCTTACAAAGGCGCACACTCCTCTGTGCATACCCGCCTCTTCCATGTCACATATGGAGTCCGACTTGGAGAAACACTGGCAACACTTGACACATCTCAACGTGGTCAATGCAGATTTCTCGGAGTGCCAATTCGATGAGTCCTCAAAATGGCAACAGGAGATCCTTGCTTGGCACCGTCTCAGAGTGCTCCGCTTCAGAGAGCAGAAACTCGGCGCCGCAGTGCTGCACATGGTGAGTTGTTGCACCGAACTCGAAGAGTTGGGCTTCGTTTGGTGTGGCAGCACTGAGCCCGAGGCCTGGCGAAAGCTCCAGGGCGCCCAGTGGCCGAAACTCCGGGTCGCCGATTTCACTTGGTGTTTCCGGAGGGACGACAGGAAAGGTTGTGCCGAAGAGGTGCTGCGGAGCTTGGCCCAGTGCTCCGAGCTGCAGAAGTTGAAGTTTGTGGGCAACTTTTATCCCCGAACCGAGGCCTGGGACGATGTGCTCAAGACCGGCTCCTGGCCTCAGCTGCAGTGGGAGAAGTGCGATTTTGGCCGCAATGGCCCGAGCGAGGAGTTCCTACCGGAGGAAGCAGAAGAGGAAGTGGCCTCAGTAGATCATCCCGAGAAGCCACAGCCTACAATTGGCATGTCGTCGAGATGCTTCACTCGCTTGTCCAGATGTATTGTCAGGGAATCTGAGACCGCGCAGGTGATTCCGTCCAGATGCTGCACACATGTGGCAATGAGAAATGAAGACGGAAAACGGCTGGATGGTTCGCTGGATTACGGCGGACAAGATCTTGATGCTGCGATACTGCCACCACTGGCTCAGGGGAAGGACATGGAAGTGCTCTATGCCGATTGGTGCCGTCATCTCCCAGCTTCGGCCTGGCAGTCTTTGGAAAATGCCCAGTGGCCCGAGCTCAAAGTGGCCGTCTTCGACGACAGCTTCCACATGGACAGCCAGGGCTTGGAAGGCGCCCCAGCACTGCTGCAGCTGTTGGCGCGCTGCCCTCGCCTCAAGTCGATCAAACTCAGTTTCTGCGGAGGGATCGCCGCGGAGGCCTGGGAGGCGCTCCGTGCCGCGGAGTGGCCTCAACTGAAGGAAGCCCGGTGGGAGATGTGCTTTGAGAGTGGCAAGCCAGCCTCCGGTGGGGCCGGGATCGTGATGGAGCTCCTGGCGCGGTGCCAGCGCTTGGAGAAGATCGATTTGAGTCGGTGCAAAGGCATTGCGGCCGAGGCGTTCCAGCTGCTGGGCGCCGCCGATTGGCCGGAGCTGAGATCTGCAGGTTTCAACGACAGTTTCGTCGGATCGAATCGCTCGGCCCTGCCGGCGGTGCTGCAGATGTTGTCTCGATGCCCGAAGGTGGAACACTTGAACTTCTACGACTGTGGTGTCACGGAGAAGGAGCTGCAAAAGCTGCCCGGCGGCTGTTGGCCTCACTTGGAGATCCAAAAGTGCAACGGCTTTGATGGCGAAGAGAAGCTGAAGCAGCTGAGGCGCCTCAAGGGCGCGGATGCCACCGAAGCTGCCAGCAGTGCCGTGATTGTCATCGAAGATGCCATGACCCAGGAGGCAGATGCTGAAGCCAAACAGCCCAAGAGACGGAAGAAGGTGCGCAGTGTGCGCAGGAGGAAGCCAGCTGAGACAGAGGCGCCCAACGACGCAGGGGATGTGAGCCAGATTGAAGGAGTTTGTGGAGATTTGGAAGCTGAACGGCCCATAGAGGCCAAGGAAGAGGAGAGGCCAGAGGCACCGAAGAAGAAAAGGACCAGCAAGAAAGCAACGCGTTCGGTCAAAAAGTTCAGAGTGCGAAAGAGTGCCCCGGTCAACCTAATGCCAACTCCAGCTGATCTCAAAGAGCAACATGCAGATGGAGAAGGAGCCCCAAGCGAAAGCCGGCCAAATGAGGCATGCGAGAAGAGAAGGCCAATGGGCAGAAACTGTCAGATGCATTGAACATCAAAAGAGGTGGCTGTGCTGAAGGCAGGCGCCCGTCACGTTTCACATGGATTGAGCACACAGAAAAGGTTCCAGCTGTCATTTGATGGCTGCAGTTGTCAGGTCATTCACAAGGTGGTGCAAGGCTTCAACGCTCTCTCACTCCTTCAGATTCTTCACGTTTCTTCATGGAACAAATCCGTTCTCAGACCTATCCTGAAGTGACCTATCTAGCAGGGCGATGCTGGCGCAGTGAGGCCTGGGAACTCCATGAAGCTGTCAGAGCTAGGAGTGTCAAAGAGGAGAAACAACTCATTCTATACAAATCGAGTTAAAACCTGAAAATTCCGGAAGGATTTGCAACATTTGATAGTCTCCGTTCTGAAGGTTGGGAATTTGCCCCGAACCAGGATGAAGAACCAAACCATGCCAAACCTTTTTGCGCAGGATGTCGGAGCATATTCTTTAGTAGCGTATCTATGCGTATCTTTGATATAATAAATGATTGTCCTAGGGTTTGCGATATTGGAGCGCCAGGAGACAATGGCAGTCACGAAGCCATTGAGAGATCCATGAAGATTGATATGAGGACTCTATGAGTTGATGGTTTGCCTATGTTGCCTGATGTTGAGACACACTGGACCTATTAAATTACATCGAAGACGGAGGACGTAACATCAGGCGTTTTGCACTTGACTGGTCGGAATTTGCCCAGGCGCTCGAATGGATCCGCAGGCGCCCCGAGGGAGATGGTCCCCGGCTAACTTTGGGCCGAATCTTCGCAAGTTCATGTGCAGGGATAGAGTCCATTAGGTCCATGGCAATGTAAGTTGAACATTGTTGAACAGCTTGTTTGCAGGATTGTTTATGGGATTTTGTCTTCGTAGTCACCGTCCATTGATCCACCTAATTCACGTTGATCAATGTTTATAACTACATGTTTTCGGTGAAGCTCAGGGAGCGGGTTCACAGTGTTCACGGTCTGGCTGAAGGACTCCCCCTCTTGGCGAAGAGCTCCAGGCGCCTTGGAGGCGCGTTCCTTGTGGCCATGGCCGGAAGTGATGAGGCCATTGGAGTTGGGAAATAACAGGGAATGAGTGGTGGCTGCTCCAAATCACAAAGGGGAGGAGCATAAGATGCTGCAAAATCATGAGACCATTGGGATAAGCTGCGATGTAGAGCTGCGAGGCCTGGAGGCCTCTTGCTTTCTTTGAGGGTCACCTGGAGTGGTCCTGATTTCGCTCCAGAGTGTCCCGTCATGTTGGATGGGCAGATGACCGTCTACGCGTAGATGACTGGCGCCAGTCTTAGGATTGGCCGTGTGATGGATCTGGGGGATGTTTTTTTTTCTATTCAATTGGGATTGAAGACATCTGATGCTATTCAATTCTGATCCGGGGGATGTTTCCTTTAGCAAAAGTTGAATAGATTAAATTTTGTAAATTGACTCGTTTCAAGTTTTGAATACATCTCGTCAACCTTTGCTCCAGGCGCTGCTGCCTTGCATGGATCCACAGGCACGCTGAGGGAGCTGGTCCTTCGCTGATTCTGCATCGAGACGAAACTTCACAGTCTGCCTTCACTAAACGTCAGGAGCTGAAACCGGTTTTCATGGAATTAGACAACAGCCGATCCTGTCCTTGCCACGACAAACGTCTGGGCCACCCCTCGAAGTGGATGTCAGGGCAATTTTGTGACGTTCTACTGAGCTGGTCCCAAGCGTATGACGCGGGGGTTAAGTATTGATTAAGTATGGGTTACCACTCACAAGATTCACGGGTGGTGCGGAAGCATAGTCAGTACCCAACTATGTGTCCCTTCCATGTTGCCTCTGGCAGGTTCTCAATGGCCATCCTGATGATCCATTTGCAAGATCGACGAGGCGGCGAAGGAAAGGGACCTGCCACTGCAGACGCTGGTCCTATAGCTGATTCTAAGAGGTCTCACCGTCTCTCACAGATTTGCTATTTTCAGGTGTCTGAATGGCGCTCTGGATATGAAATCTTCGATGTTTCACTGACGGTTCAACGGTTACTCAGACATGTGATGTTATCACCTTTGATTTGGTCAATGTTCAGTGTGAATGCCGCTAGAAGTGAAAGGGTTTGGTGGTCAAGTTGGGGATTACATGTGCAACAAACAATTAAACACTGGCCACTGTTCTCCTCCCCTGGTGCATTTTGCCTCTGAACTGAATGAACAATAGAAATTGTTCATCGCAAGCTTTCTAAACATAATAGTAGACAAACCTTATGCCGAGTGATGGACCCAGTTGTTGCTTTTGCAGGCAGCGGTGCAAGAGTGGAATATTATAAGAAGAAGCTCAGGACATTGTGGGTTACACCTTGTAAGTAAGTTTCAGTTGGGTAGATTGATACTCCGCACCGCTCTTTGGTTTGTGGTACCGTTTGAGATGCGAGCTGAAGGGTGACTAAGCATATGCACCATGCTTGGTTGACTTATCTTAGGGCCAGGAAGTGGGGCTATGGGTTTGCAATTAACTCACAGCATTATTGACAAGTCTGATGTCAGCATGGTTTTGGGCACATGTGTGGCAGAGATCTTCATCTGCAACTATCATCTCCAGAGACTCTTAAAGACGCTTAAGGATTCCTCATAGCCCAAGGTTGAGGCAGATAGATGCAGATAGTATAGAACATGTTTTAAGGTGTTTCAAGCACATCAACTAGGTACCTCTAGTGCACCCCATTGATTCCCTTTCTTTGTACGTTGTTGATACTTGGAGAACAAAAAGGGCCTGGCCGCTGGACCTTATCTACTACAGACCTTTGGGAGCCATGTTCATATATGTTTCTTTTTCCAAAAGAAGCCTCTCAGGGCTCCGAGTCAGAGGCCCCCAACATCCGAAAGCCCCAAACTGGGGCGCTCGGTCCCGGGTCCCACCGAGTGGGCGCCACACCCAGCGAACGCCATGGACGGACGCCACGGCCCGGCGGATGCCACGGACGGACGCCACGGTCCCCCGGAGCCAGGCGTTGCCAGGCGTCAACCACGTCGGGCTGCGTGGAGCGGCGGGCTATAGATGGATTCCGGTGACCACGAGAGATGGAGATTTTCGGATGTCCATGGGTGTCCTGCTCCGTGGTTTAGGTCTTCAGAACATGTCAATGTTCGAGTGAAATGAGAGTACACAGCTTTGCAACTTGCATGTACTCGGATGTTTGCAAGTCGTTTCCCATTTTACTTGATTTGGGGCGATATGCATTCATGCGCAATAGAGATACTCCGCTTTGATCAAGTGCCCGGTAAGCCACCAGTGCAGCTTCCCATGCATGAAACTGGGATACAAAGATCATTGCATGGCACTTCATGGATTTGTAGAGAAACTTCGCGCAGCCCTCTGGTTGATCGCAGGAGTTCTTGCCACTGCCTGGCAACTGCCTCCATGAGTGCTGTTGCCCAGCATCGAAAAGGCACTGGTTTAAGGGAGGATTGGGGCAGAAGAAAGAGTGAGGTCTCAATCTGACATAATCTGACTCATGCAAAGGGCTCAATAGATCCCCTATAAGGGTCAGCGCCCTGTAGTAGAGCACAAATCCAAGACTTTTCAGCTGTTTTGTGTCTCTTTTAAATTAAAGTTGGCTTTGCTCAGTAGAGCAGCGAATCCTTTTTCACATCTTTTGACCCCGGAAGAGTGAATTTGCTTTCATTCCATGTCATTCCGCTTGTTGGACTTGGCTTGGAGTTACATCATATTCAGGGATATTCAGGGTGAAATGACATGCATGTACATGTATCATATTGTATCATCATTGTATCATGTTGGGCAGATTCTTCATTCCATGTGGTGAGAAATCGCATTTGGACTCGAGTTCGCCAGGGTGAAGCAGGGACCAGGGATGGTGTCGCCAGGGTGAAGGCCAGTGGCCAGTGGCCGGACAGGCGCCAGGTGGTCTTTTCAGTCACTTCAATGGACGTGCAGGTGCGGGACCTGGATAAAAGGACTGGAACAGACAGAGGGTGCGCAACATGTTTGCTCATGTGAACATGAAGTTGGCATATAAGCGGATTACATTTACCACATGCAAATTCCAGAAACAATGGAGTTCGACAGCAAGTTGAGTCTTTCCACATCGATTGTTAGATATTGTTAGTGATTTCGTTATTCGGGTTTTGTCTCCGTTCACGTCCATACTGTCAGTTCCAAGCATAGACGATCGCTTCTGGGGCCCCATTCCAATCATGAGTATTCGATGCAAGTTGTTCAACGACGTGACATGCAATTAAGGGCCACAGAGGAAAGACCCTATAGTTTTTTTTTGCTTGCTAGTCTAAAGGGATCCAGCCGACTGCAACGGGGAAGAGGTTTAGATTCCAAATTTGATGTCCGGGCTGGGCACCTGAGCTGGGCAAAGAAAGTATATGTTCCACCAGGGAGTCCTGAAAGTTTGTGATTTAGAATTTCTGGAATGGACCTTTGGAAGAGGATTTTCCTCTACAACCCGGTTTTAAGGTTCCATGCAGGTCTCTTCCAGAGCGTACACTCACTGGAAAGGTCCGATCTTTCTTGGGATGCCAAGATGTGCCATGCCATCCGGGTCACTCTTTAAGGAGTTCGTGCCGTTCGTCACCATGAATCGCTCCATGTTGGGTGGGTTTCGGGTCAGTGGCGAAGACGATTCTCGAGGCCACTACGGTCTTCGATTTGTTGAGGATATATTTTTGATTATTTTTGATGCAGCCATGGCCATGAGGCTTTCATTAATAGTGACCAAGATTGGGGAAGAAGCCTTCTTTTCGTGCAGCTGGCCAATGTCACCATCCCTGACTCAGTTTCCCATATCGGGGATCAAACCTTTTCAGAGTGCAGCTCGTTGGCAACGGTCACCATCCCTGAGGACCTTTGCAGTATGCTTGGTATTGCTAGCCTCGCTGGGCCTGATGGGCTGGAAAGCGATTCTAGCAGAAGCAGTATCTTGTCAGGAGAGCAATTGCAACAGGTTTCTCAACGGCTGGGCATGTCCTCGACGCTGGCGATCTTCACATCACGGCGTTTCTGCTGAGCCAATATGGCGGAAGCAGAACACATGTGGGGATGGGTCAAAAGCGAACGCCGGACTTCC